AATGGCAAGTCCAACTATAATGCTTCAATGGGCTTTCACAATTGTCTACCCCATTGTAAGTGACACATCAATCGCTCTCTGACTGATACATGAACCCCACTTTGATGGAGACATGAACCCCACTTTGATTGAGACATCAACCCCACTTTGATGGAGACATCAACCCCACTTTGATGGAGACATGAACACCAGTTTGACGGAGACATGAACCCAACTTTGACGGACACATCAACCCCACTTTGATGGAGACATGAATCCAACTTTGATGGAGACATCAACCCCACTTTGATTGAGACATCAACCCCACTTTGATGGAGACATCAACCCTACTTTGATGGACACATCAACCCCACTTTGATGGAGACATGAACCCAACTTTGATGGAGACATCAACCCAACTTTGACGGAGACATCAACACCACTTTGATGGAGACATGAACCCAACTTTGATGGAGACATCAACCCCACTTTGATTGAGACATCAACCCCACATTGATGGAGACATCAACCCTACTTTGATGGATACATCAACCCCACTTTGACGGAGACATGAACACCACTTTGACAGAGACATGAACCCAACTTTGACTGACACATCAACCCCACTTTGATGGAGACATCAACCCCACTTTCACTGATACATGAACCCCACTTTGACTGATAAGTGAACCCCACTTTGATGTCCAGCAACGACTGGGTCAATCTGAGGCTGTGTCAAGCAATGACTGGGTCAATCTGAGGCTAAGTCAAGCAACGACTGGGTCAATCTGAGGCTAAGTCAAGCAGCGACTGGGTCAATCTGAGGCTAAGTCAAGCAACGACTGGGTCAATCTGAGGCTAAGTCAAGCAACGACTGGGTCAATCTGAGGCTAAGTCAAGCAACGACTGGGTCAATCTGAGGCTAAGTCAAGCAGCCGACTGGGTCAATCTGAGGCTAAGTCAAGCAACGACTGGGTCAATCTGAGGCTAAGTCAAGCAACGACTGGGTCAATCTGAGGCTAAGTCAAGCAACGACTGGGTCAATCTGAGGCTAAGTCAAGCAACGACTGGGTCAGTCTGAGGATGTGTCAAGCAACGACTGGGTCAGTCTGAGGATGTGTCAAGCAACGACTGGGTCAGTCTGAGGATGTGTCAAGCAACGACTGGGTCTTAGCTGAGGTTGTGTCAAGCAACGACTGGGTCTGAGCTGAGGCTGGGCCAAGCAACGACTGGGTCTGTCTGAGGCTAAGTCAAGCAACGACTGGGTCTGAGCTGAGGTTGTGTCAAGCAACGACTGGGTCAGTCTGAGGATGTGTCAAGCAACGACTGGGTCAGTCTGAGGATGTGTCAAGCAACAACTGGGTCTGAGCTGAGGTTGTGTCAAGCAACGACTGGGTCTGAGCTGAGGCTGGGCCAAGCCTCCTGACAGTGTCACCACAGATAACATGAGGGTAAGTGCTCCTGAGATAAACCAGCACAAAGCAGAAAGTCATTCAGAGGTGTCAAGTTTCAATGATGATCGCTTACTGAAACAATTTGACAACCACATCGCTAAAGAAGCTACATTTTGTATAAAAGTTGTTCCGTCTTCGTCATTTTTTGTACATACTTAACTAATCACACACAAAATCACCATTACAATGGCAGACATCCAACCGGGTACAAACTTTGGTAGAAATATTTGCTAGATTTACATAGCAATGACCATGCTCCTCTCCCCCTGCCAGCAATCCAGTCCTTCATCAGGCAAGAATTATTATGCAAGTCCCTATATATATCACAAAATTGCAAATATTATCAGTTTCCACACTCTAACATAGGATTGCCACATGTCCAACTAGTAGTTGGCCTATCAAAGGAATCTTTAGCACTACTGATATGGACAAGTGGTAAATATCAATAATTATTGTACATGTGTATAGATGTTTATATGTTTAAATATACATTAGTTGTGTTAAAGAGCAATAAACTGTCAGCCCTTTTCTCATGTTTATTTCTGGTGAAGGAACATATAACAAACAATTCATGTACATAATCATCATCTCGGTTACATATAAACATGGGTGTGTGTAACCATGACAATAGTTGTTTGCGTAAAATGATCTTGTGGAATTAAGATGTCCAGGTGACCACATATCTCAGGACATCACATTCTCTGGAACAGGTGTTTGGAATTCACAGAAACTCTTCACACAGGCTTACCAGTTTGGATTCTGCAGGCCCTCAGAAACCAATTGTTCTCTGGATACCATGAAAAATTAATCGTGTCCGAATAACAGAAATGTTTGAGGTAAAACTTCACTAAATTACCTACCCCCTTCACCTAGATGACTCACCCTCTCATTACACACCTCACCTTTTCACCTTACCTATTGGCCTCACCCACCGACCTAAGTACCTCACCAATACCTGTCCGATATGAGGTAGCAACAAATCTGCGTCAGACAATACAAATTTACATATACAGAAACATCACTATAACATCAAAACATCCACATCTTGGTCTAAAACATTTCATGATGACTGCAATAAGACAATCAGCAAAACAAATAATATAAGTCATGACAAGTAGGCATCTTTTTCTAAAACACTAAGAACAAATAATATAAGTAGACAGGGCATCTTAAAAGCACATCCTCATAAAATAACTCCCACTACTCAGCATATCTAGCAGAGCCGAAACTGTCAACACCACGTCATCTACTGGGGCAGACAGTCTGTCCATCAGCTGATGTACTCACAGGACTCGTGAATTCCTGACTGTCAACACCATGACATCTACTGGGGCAGACAGTCTGTCCATCAGCTGATGTACTCACAGGACTCGTGAATTCCTGACTGTCAACACCATGACATCTACTGGGGCAGACAGTCTGTCCATCAGCTGATGTACTCACAAGTCTCCTGAATTCATGACTGTCAACACCACGACATCTACTGGGGCAGACAGTCTGTCCATCAGCTGATGTACTGTACTTCAATCAGCCCAGGTATGACACTGTTTAGACAGGCTCTCCACACACTGTACTTCAATCAGCCCAGGTATGACACTGTTTAGACAGGCTCTCCACACACTGTACTTCAATCAGCCCAGGTATGAAACTGTTTAGACAGGCTCTCCACACACTGTACTTCAATCAGCCCAGGTATGACACTGTTTAGACAGGCTCTCCACACACTGTACTTCAATCAGCCCAGGTATGACACTGTTTAGACAGGCTCTCCACACACTGTACTTCAATCAGCCCAGGTATGACACTGTTTAGACAGGCTCTCCACACACTGTACTTCAATCAGCCCAGGTATGACACTGTTTAGACAGGCTCTCCACACACTGTACTTTAATCAGCCCAGGTATGACACTGTTTAGACAGGCTCTCCACACACTGTACTTCAATCAGCCCAGGTATGACACTGTTTAGACAGGCTCTCCACACACTGTACTTCAATCAGCCCAGGTATGACACTGTTTAGACAGGCTCTCCACACACTGTACTTCAATCAGCCCAGGTATGACACTGTTTAGACAGGCTCTCCACACACTGTACTTCAATCAGCCCAGGTATGACACTGTTTAGACAGGCTCTCACACACACTGTACTTCAATCAGCCCAGGTATGACACTGTTTAGACAGGCTCTCCACACACTGTACTTCAATCAGCCCAGGTATGACACTGTTTAGACAGGCTCTCCACACACTGTACTTCAATCAGCCCAGGTATGACACTGTTTAGACAGGCTCTCCACACACTGTACTTCAATCAGCCCAGGTATGACACTGTTTAGACAGGCTCTCCACACACTGTACTTCAATCAGCCCAGGTATGACACTGTTTAGACAGGCTCTCCACACACTGTACTTCAATCAGCCCAGGTATGACACTGTTTAGACAGGCTCTCCACACACTGTACTTCAATCAGCTGAACATCAAGGACTTCTGGGAAAGAGGTGTCAGATCTCCAGAAATACAAGTAAATATCTGTACAGGCACTCAGGTCGTCAACCTGGCTAAACACACTGAGCATATGTACACAACTCCTGCCTTCACTTGTAGTCATGGATAGTTACGTGTGAAATAATCACCTGACAAGCATAGAGGTCGTCAGCCTGGCTAAACATGCTGAGTAAGCTGTTATAAGATAAATTTGACAAACTAAAAATCAGTACAAAACAAATTACAGATTCTAAAACAAACACTGACTGAGTGTGTGTGAATGTGTTTAAGCACCTCTGATGGGCATGTATTACCTGATAGACCCTCTCCTGGGGACATATTACCTGATAGAACAATGGAATATTTCAAACACAATCAATGGTATATTTCATGTGGATTAACAATGGGTTTTGAAATTGATCCCTGGGAGGAAGCCAGTCTTGGTTACAGAAAATATAAATTTCATAAATATAACAAATAACAAATTTTTACATTTCTCAGGAACTAACCTACTCACAGACACTGACTGTTCCAAATAATCTGTGTGATTCAAACAGAATCACCCAATGGCATTCACCCAACACTGTATGGCACTCACCCAACACTGTATGACATTCACCCAACACTGTATGACATTCACCCAACACTGTATGACATTCACCCAACACTGTATGGCATTCACAAAACACTGTATGGCATTCATCCAACACTGTATATCATTTACCCAACACTGTATGGCATTCACCCAACACTGTATTTCATTCACCCAACACTGTATGGCATTCACAAAACACTGTATGGCATTCACCCAACACTGTATGGCATTCATCCAACACTGTATGACATTCACCCAACACTGTATGACATTCACCCAACACTGTATGGCATTCACCCAACACTGTATGGCATTCATTCAACACTGTATGGCATTCACCCAACACTGTATGACATTCACCCAACACAACACTGTATGGCATTCACAAAACACTGTATGGCATTCACCCAACACTGTATGGCATTCATCCAACACTTCATCACCCAACACTGTATGACATTCACCCAACACTGTTCATTCACCAACACTGTATGGCATTCACCCAACACTGTATGACATTCACCCAACACAACACTGTATGGCATTCACAAAACACTGTATGGCATTCACCCAACACTGTATGGCATTCATCCAACACTGTATGACATTCACCCAACACTGTATGACATTCACCCAACACTGTATGGCATTCACCCAACACTGTATGGCATTCATTCAACACTGTATGGCATTCACCCAACACTGTATGACATTCACCCAACACAACACTGTATGGCATTCACAAAACACTGTATGGCATTCACCCAACACTGTATGGCATTCACAAAACACTGTATGACATTCACCTGACACTGTGTGACATTCACCCCAAATTGTATGACATTCACATGCTTCAATCTGATCAAAATGTTGTTTCTTAATGGAAGGTGCAATGAATGTTTTTCATTATCTGGCCACTACTCCCTGTACATTGTGACTGTTCAGGTGATATGTATAATATAGCTTGATTAAACCTGGACACAGACATGACTGCCTAGTTCTCTGAGGTAGATGTTGTTCTTGAAATCAGTATCAAACTTGGCATTATGGCAGCATACCGTGAAAGACTTCATAACTCACCCTGGCCAGTAAATACACTTCACTCACTAACAGTTTTGTTGCCATCACCTCTTGTCTCCAACCTCGATAATATCCAAGGTATATGTTTTGATAAATCTCCACCAGTACCCTAGATGCATCGACGTTTCGGCCTGATAATTGTATTACCTCCCTTCGCTGGCAGCATCTTCTCACAGTAGCCAATCAGACAAGCTGTTACAACCGAGCTTGCCAGTATCAACAATGAAAATATCATACAGACAAATTGACAGGTCTAAAACCTTCATAAATACATACAACAACTTGTACCTCTTTCAGGGTGCCTCTGCAACAATTGTGTTGCCAAGTTTAATCGGTTACATAAGAGAAGCGGAAGTGAGTTATGATAGAAGACTTGTCATTGGTACACTCGACTTCCCAGTGTACACACCTGATTGGATAAAAAGCCAGGAAAAGGAGGTAATACAATTATCAGGCCGAGTTGTAGATGCATAAAGGACACTAGTGGCGATTTATCAGAATGTATATCCTGGAGATTATCGAGGAAGCTTTTGTCGCAAGTCTACACAGTTTATCTGTCATCAAATGGTGGTTATCCTGTCGCCATACAGTGTGTACATAACACAACCAGATGGGGCCAGGGTATTTACCACGTGGAGAACCACGAAACTGAGCATACCCACACGGTGAAACACACCAGCACTGGGTGATACGAACATACCCACACGGTGAAACACACCAGCACTGGGTGATACGAACATACCCACACGGTGAAACACACCAGCACTGGGTGATACCAACATACCCACACGGTGAAACACACCAGCACTGGGTGATACCAACATACCCACACGGTGAAACACACCAGCACTGGGTCATACTAACATACCCACACGGTGAAACACACCAGCACTGGGTGATACGAACATACCAATTAATGCTCAGTGTAGGAACCAATCATATGCCTTCTATGATACGCTTGGTGTTTACACTCAACTGGATTTCAGACAGTCACAAAGCACCCTGGAAATAAGCTAATACCACACTACAGACGGCTGGTTCCATATTATCACTGGTTCCTCTGCTTCTTAAAGCCACTGTATTCTAATGTTCCTTCAACAGAATAGAATCAATGCTACTATGGTGTCCAAGCAGCCACTGGATCAATTTCTCATTGGAACAATTACGTACAACTTGAAGAAGACTGGAATGGCAAGCCTCACTCTGGCAACTGTATGTCATCAACTCTCTGGCATCTATTCATTCTTTGAACGTGTCTCCCTCTTCTTGATGAAGTCACTCATCAACAAACGATAAAATAGGATTATGTTCATCAGCGTCAAAATGGCCAGTCCCACGCTACCCATGGTGTAGAATAAGAGAGGCACATAATCCTTGTTGATGACAATCCATCGAGTCATCCAGGCCAGCAGGCTGATGCGACACACGATGAAGGTACCTGCAAACAGGTTTGACAGAATCATAATCATTTGTTTTCACGGATGGCCTTAAAAAAACATTTATTAACCCAGATGTGAAACTCACCAAGATTAATCACTGCAGTTGTAAAGCTTACGAAGACTATTCAGGGTGGATGTATAGCTTACCAAGACTATTAAGGGTGGTTGTATGGCTACCAAGACTATTCAGGGTGGATGTATAGCTTACCAAGATTATTCAGGGTGGTTGTATGGCTTACAAAGACTATTCAGATTGGTTGTATGGCTACCAAGGCTATTCAGGGTGGATGTATAGCTTACCAAGACTATTCAGGGTGATTGTATGGCTTACCAAGACCATTCAGTTTGGTTGTATGGCTTACCATGACTATTCAGGGTGGTTGTATAGCTTACCAAGACTATTCAGATTGGTTCTAGGCTACCAAGACTATTCAGGGTGGATGTATAGCTTACAAAGACTATTCAGGGTGGTTGTATGGCTTACCAAGACTCTTCAGCTTGGTTGTATGGCTTACCATGACTATTCAGATTGGTTGTATGGCTAACCAAGACTATTCAGGGTGGATGTATAGCTTACAAAGACTATTCAGATTGGTTGTATGGCTTACCAAGACTATTCAGGGTGGATGTATAGCTTACCAAGACTATTCAGGGTGGTTGTATGGCTTACCAAGACTATTCAGGGTGGATGTATAGCTTACCAAGACTATTCAGGGTGGTTGTATGGCTTACCAAGGCTATTCAGGGTGGATGTATAGCTTACCAAAAGAGTGTTCAGGGTGGTTGTATGGCTTACCAAGACTATTCAGGGTGGATGTATAGCTTACCAAGACTATTCAGGGTGGTTGTATGGCTTACCAAGACTATTCAGGGTGGATGTATAGCTTACAAAAAGAGTGTTCAGGGTGGTTGTATGGCTTACAAAGACTCTTCAGGGTGGTTGTATGGCTTACCAAGACTATTCAGGGTGGTTGCATGGCTTACCAAGACTCTTCAGGGTGGATGTATAGTTTACAAAGACTCTTCAGATTGGTTGTATGGCTTACCAAGACTATTCAGGGTGGATGTATGGCTTACCGAGACTATTCAGGGTGGTTGTATGGCTTACCAAGACTATTCAGGGTGGATGAATAGCTTACAAAAAGAGTGTTCAGGGTGGTTGTATGACTTACCAAGACTATTCAGGGTGGTTGTATGGCTTACCAAGACTATTCAGGGTGGATGTATAGCTTACAAAAAGAGTGTTCAGGGTGGTTGTATGGCTTACCAAGACTATTCAGGGTGGTTGTATAGTTTACAAAGACTCTTGAGGGTGCTTGCACAACTTACCAAGATTAATCAATGTGATTGTTTAGCTTACCAGGATAAATCAGGGTGGTCTTACTGCTTACCAAGACTACCATTATTCAGATGGTAGTGTAACTTACAACACTGACTGGATGTGTTGTGAAACTTAATGAGATTATTCAGATGGTAGTGTAGCAGATTCATATGGTTGGTCTTGAAACTTAATGAGATTATTCAGATGGTAGTGTAGCAGATTCATTTGGTTGGTCTTGAAACTGAATGAGATTATTCAGATGGTAGTGTTGCAGATTCATTAGGTTGGTCTTGAAACTTACTGAGATTATTCAGATGGTAGTGTTGCAGATTCATTAGGTTGGTCTTGAAACTTACTGAGATTATTCAGATGGTAGTGTAGCAGATTATTCAGATGGTAGTGTAGCAGATTCATTTGGTTGGTCTTGAAACTTGCTGAGATTATTCAGATGGTAGTGTAGCAGATTATTCAGATGGTAGTGTAGCAGATTCATTAGGTTGGTCTTGAAACTTACTGAGATTATTCAGATGGTAGTGTAGCAGATTATTCAGATGGTAGTGTAGCAGATTCATTTGGTTGGTCTTGAAACTTACCCAGATTAATCAGGCTGTTCATCCTGTAGAAATTGTTGTCTTTCTGAAATCCTATAATCTGAAGAATCTGCCTGAAATGGAGGAAGATGCTGTTCACCTCAACGATGAGCCCAACCACTGCGTAGCCCACGTACATGTGCGTCGTTATGGCAACCATATAACACAGGAGGATCTGCATGAATACAAACAGTCATTGTCAATCACCTAAGGAAGACATTTGAGGAGGGTGCAGTTTCCAACAGCCCTCTTCTACATTTCACAGTACAAAGTCATCAATATATCTTCCAATTGTAAATACTTGTCTTCAATAGATAAATGAACTTGGTTGCAAAGGAAACTAAACAAATATCTGTATAAAATATTCCCAATTATCCAAAGGTCCCACCAGTTCCCCCCTTGACCTCCATGTGCACATTTAAATGAAGAGCATAATGTCAACAACTGAAAACTACCACCAGGAACAAACTTTTAAAGTCTTCATTTTGAAAAGTTTAACAATAAATGATATATTTATAATACTTATCCTATCTCAGGTATTGTGCTCTCTCTCATGATTCAACGGATGAGTGGAAACAAACTGCAAACAAAGTTTTCAGCCTTTCTTGTACCATTTGCCCAAACACTCCCCACTGCTCCCATTCCTGGACAGTCTCAGCCTGTGCGAAACATGCCCTCCGGTTGATCATGTGACCCCTTTGTCTGATCATTCTCTTCTTGGAGCCTAATTGTAATCGGGGTGGGTCGAGAGGGTATCCATTGTGTGGGATAGAATAAGTATTATAAATATATCATTAATAGTTAAATTTTTCAACTTTTTAAACTTATCCTATCCTCATATATTGTACTTATCCCACAGTGGGCCGTAGATTACCCAGTGTCTACTTAAACCGTGCCGTACAAGGAGGTCCATTATGAGTGTAATCTGACGATTAACTACATAACTCCTTATTTAGGGTGGGTTGTCCTCAACCTCTTGGTTACAAGGAGGTCCATTATGAGTGTGATCTGACGATTAACTACATAACTCCTTATTTAGGCTGGGTTGTCCTCAACCTCTTGGTTACAAGGAGGTCCATTATGAGTGTAATCTGACGATCAACTACATAACTCCTTATTTAGGCTGGGTTGTCCTCAACCTCTTGGTTACAAGGAGGTCCATTATGAGTGTGATCTGACGATTAACTACATAACTCCTTATTTAGGCTGGGTTGTCCTCAACCTCTTGGTTACAAGGAGGTCCATTATGAGTGTAATCTGACGATCAACTACATAACTCCTTATTTAGGCTGGGTTGTCCTCAACCTCTTGGTTACAAGGAGGTCCATTATGAGTGTGATCTGACGATTAACTACATAACTCCTTATTTAGGCTGGGTTGTCCTCAACCTCTTGGTTACAAGGAGGTCCATTATGAGTGTAATCTGACGATCAACTACATAACTCCTTATTTAGGCTGGGTTGTCCTCAACCTCTTGGTTACAAGGAGGTCCATTATGAGTGTGATCTGACGATTAACTACATAACTCCTTATTTAGGCTGGGTTGTCCTCAACCTCTTGGTTACAAGGAGGTCCATTATGAGTGTAATCTGACGATCAACTACATAACTCCTTATTTAGGCTGGGTTGTCCTCAACCTCTTGGTTACAAGGAGGTCCATTATGAGTGTGATCTGACGATTAACTACATAACTCCTTATTTAGGCTGGGTTGTCCTCAACCTCTTGGTTACAAGGAGGTCCATTATGAGTGTGATCTGACGATTAACTACATTACTCCTGATTTAGGCTGGGTTGTCCTCAACCTCTTGGTTACAAGGAGGTCCATTATGAGTGTAATCTGACGATCAACTACATAACTCCTTATTTAGAGTGGGTTGTCCTCAACCTCTTGGTTACAAGGAGATCCATTATGAGTGTGATCTGACGATTAACTACATAACTCCTTATTTAGGCTGGGTTGTCCTCAACCTCTTGGTTTACAAGGAGGTCCATCATGAGTGTGATCTGACGATTAACTACATAACTCCTTATTTAGGGTGGGTTGTCCTCAACCTCTTTGTTACAAGGAGGTCCATTATGAGTGTAATCTGACGATTAACTACATAACGTCTTATTTAGGGTGGGTTGTCCTCAACCTCTTGGTTTACTCAGCAGGGCGTTTTAACCCTCCTGAGTAATGTGGTTTTCAGCCACAACTTGTAAACACGTGGCAACAATCTGGGCAGAGGCTGTAGTAGGGGATAGGATACCCTTTACTCTGTAAGTTTTGTAAGTTTTTCCATTCTTCATCATACAGCGAATGAGTATAAGAACGATGAGCCAAGGTAATAGCTGCAGTCATTCTCCTGAAGTATCCCTTGGCAAATCAATTACCTTTGTAAATGTACCAAACGTGAAGATGTAGCGTTAGTAGAGGGACCCATGAAGATCTGAGAGTGTGGATGAACCAGTGCATCATCTCGGTTGAGTAGAGCCACTGGGGATAGATTGACGAACCAAGTCAAAGCCGGCCAGTAAGGCGCAACCAAAAGCAGACTTATCGTCCTGTGGACCGCAACTTCTATTGTACTCGAGGTAGTAGCGCTAGAGGTGGGACTGCACAAACATTCAGATTCTCCAAAAATATTGCTAGAGCATCTTGGTTCCATGCCAGAGAGTCTAGAATCAGAGAGACGAACCTGGGTAGATAGTTGTTGAACCTGGTCGCAAATAGCTCTACCTGAGGGCAGGTGATCGGGAGACAAATGGATTGGAAGATTTGCAGATGTAGCTTCCACTCGGTTAGGGACAGTTGGTCTCACCGATATGTGCAGGGAGTCTATCAGTCGAAAAAACCGAATCGCCCAACCGAGAAGGTTTGGTGAACGTGTTGACCCCAGGTGGTTGATATTCCACACTACCATAGAGTTGTCCGACTGAATGAGAAGACTGGTCGATTGAAGGTCCTGTGCCCAGTGTGATATGGCTAGAACAACTGCTTTGAACTCCAGTTCGTTTATGTTCTGGGACTGTTCGTCTGACGACCACAGCCCTGCCACCTGAAGATGAGAAGGTGAGCTCCCCAGCCTCGGAGTGATGCTGCTATGAAAAGATGATGAATGGGATTGAACGATGTCAAACAAACTTCTGTACAGATGTTCTGTTCGTCGAGCCACCACTGAAGATACGAATGCAGCGTATACAAAGGTAGATGAATCAACACGTGGGGATCGCCAATCTTCAAAAACAGCTGTAAAAACCTCTGGATTGGATGTAGTTCTAATTGGCCTGTGGATGTCAGGCTTGGGCGGAAGTTAACAAGCCTAGTAGTTCCTGCCACTGTCGTGTCGCAGACCCACATGTCTTGGGAAACGAACATCCTCCCCAGACATGTGTCAAAGAACTGAACTGAAGTTGCTGAGTTGGGATCCGACTTCTTCAGACTGACGATCCATCCCAAAGGGTGAAGTAGTTTGGTGTTGAACTGTAGATGTTGAAGTAAAACCTGTTGATCTTGTTGGCTTGAATGCAATCATTGCAAGCCTCAAACACGATGCCCCGGCAATGTAGAAAACGAGTGATGGGCTTTCGTGACACGGGTAAAAAGACATGGGTAAATGCCATGGTAGTGGATGCCCTGAAAGACGAACCACAGATACTTGCGGTGGTTTGGAAGTATCGGGACATGTAGATACGCAGATTGAGATCAAGGCTGATCATGTAATCTCCCGGCTTCAGAATGGTTCGTAACAGATTCAATGTAATCATACTGAAGTGTGGAGGTAGCTGTCTTCTTTCAGGTTGGAAATGAGTCGCAGCTTGTCTGAATTCTTTCTCGGAACAAGACATATCAGGGACTAAGAGCCAGGGGCGTCAGGCAAGGGACTAGAGACTCGATGGCTAACTTCTCTATCAACGAACCTTTGAACCGAAATCAGCATCACCGGGTAGGTTCACCTAACTGGTTGGTCGTCAATGGTAGGGTTCCCACAATCTGGAGGCTGTAACCTCGGCTGAGGGTGGATACCATGAAACCAAGTCTTCTGCCTACAGTAGTATCTATAGCAGATACGACTGGGGGCAGAAGTTCTCAGTCAGACGGTAGAATCTGGTAGTCACTGTTTGCCGGATCCGGCTCCACAAGCAGAGTCTGATTCCACAAGCTGCATCCAATCTGGCCGCTCTCTTGGTCAAAGATGGCTAGGACTGTCTTCTCAGTTTACCATGAAAAGAGTTGTCTGAGCAGAGTTAAAAGTCTTGTAAGCCCAGATGAAAGGTTGTGAACTGAGCATTGTCTGGAATTGGAGGAGCTCCAATGAGACTTGAAAGTGTGTTTTGCGTTCAACCTTACCAGCAACTCATCAAACAGATAAGCCATAGACCACTGCTGGTGGAACAACTCAACCCTACACCGATCGTCCAACAAAGCATGACTCAGAGGGCCAGCATATAACCAAGAAGTGTGAAATCTGATCGAGTAACACTTGAAATTGCTCCACGTTCACATAATCATCACTACCCTCCACGTCCACATAATCATTACTACCCTCCAAGTCCACATAATCATCACTACCCTCAAAGTCCACATAATCAATACTACCCTCCACGTCCACATAATCATTACTACCCTCCAAGTCCACATAATCATCACTACCCTCAAAGTCCACATAATCAATACTAACCTCCACGTCCACATAATCAATACTACCCTCCACGTCAACCTAATCATTATTACCCTCCATGTCCACATAATCAATACTACCCTCCACGTCAACCTAATCATTATTACCCTCCATGTTCACATAATCAATACTACCCTCCATGTCCACATAATCAATACTACCCTCCACGTCCACATAATCAATACTACCCTCCACGTCCACATAATCAATACTACCCTCCAAGTCCACATAATCAATACTACCCTCCATGTCCACATAATCAATACTACCCTCCACATCCACATAATCAATACTACCCTCCATGTCCACATAATCAATACTACCCTCCATGTCCACATAATCAATACTACCCTCCACGTCCACATAATCAATACTACCCTCCACGTCCACATAATCAATACTACCCTCCCGTCCACATAATCAATACTACCCTCCCGTCCACATAATCAATACTACCCTCCACGTCCACATAATCAATACTACCCTCCATGTCCACATAATCAATACTACCCTCCACGTCCACATAATCAATACTACCCTACACGTCCACATAATCAATACTACCCTACACGTCCACATAATCAATACTACCCTCCATGTCCACATAATCAATACTACCCTCCATGTCCACATAATCAATACTACCCTACACGTCCACATAATCAAATACTAAGAGTAAGAGTGTTCGTCATGTTCGTTCATTGTAGTTGAGTGGCCTACTGGCAGAACGGATCGCCGAATTCGGAAGGCTTGTTACACTGGGACAGAACCGCTGAACCGTGCTGGTTCGCCGAACTGGGTTAGGTGTCAGAACCAAATGCTATCACCGATGGGTAGCCAAACTAGGGGGATCATCGAAATGGGAGATATTTCGAAACACAAAGTAGATTCAAGATCGCCAGCTTTCGCAGAACAAATTTCAGACGGTTCGTAGGATAAGGAAACGGGTGACATATCCAGTTGAGCTGTGACCGTCAGAGAAGGCTGATGTGCCTACAGGGTTAGGATTAGGATAAGGAAACGGGTGACATATCCAGTTGAGCTGTGACCATCAGAGAAGGCTGATGTGCTGACAGGGTTAGGATTAGGATAAGGAAACGGGTGACATATCCAGTTGAGCTGTGACCGTCAGAGAAGGCTGACACATGACGGGATAAATCCGGGGGACGCTCCCCTACATGTTCTGTCTCTGACGGGATCGGTATGGGTTCACGTCCGTCCTGAGTTCAGTGAACGACCACCATGAAAATCTGACTTCAAATACAGCATGTCTGCACTGCAGTGTGAGAAGAAAGAGAATGATCTAACAAGGGAGTCACATGATCAACAAGAGGGCATGCTTCACAGAGGCCGAGGCTGTCCAGGTATGGGAGCAGTGGGGAGTGTTTGGACAAATGGTGCATGAGATACCAAAAACTTTGTTTGCAGTTTGTTCTCACTCAGCTGTCAAATCATGAGAAAGAGTACTATGCATGTGACAAGATAAATTCAAAAATTATCAATATCTATACTTTTATCTAGCATTCAATTTTCAACATCTGCTCAATGACATCTTACACAAATGATCAGATACACGGATGGATGGAATTACAGGGATTGAAGCACAGGTTTCTTACCACAACGTGATGGCCAAGGAGCTCCAGGCTTTGTCTGGTACGCTGATACAGCAACATGTCCACTACATCGTACACAAAGTAGCCTGAAACACACACAACATGTCCACTACATCGTACACAAAGCAGCCTGAAACACACACAACATGTCCACTACATCGTACACAAAGTAGCCTGAAACACACACAACATGTCCACTACATCGTACACAAAGTAGCCTGAAACACACACAACATGTCCACTACATCGTACACAAAGTAGCCTGAAACACACACAACATGTCCACTACATCGTACACAAAGCAGCCTGAAACACACACAACATGTCCACTACATCGTACACAAAGTAGCCTGAAACACACACAACATGTCCACTACATCGTACACAAAGTAGCCTGAAACACACACAACATGTCCACTACATCATACACAAAGTAGCCTGAAACACACACAACATGTCCACTACATCGTACACAAAGCAGCCTGAAACACACACAACATGTCCACTACATCGTACTGAAGGTGCTGAGGATGTCTGTGGTGTCTGGTTGTACTGAAGGTGTGGAGGACATTTGTGGTGTCTGGTTGTACTGAAGGTGTTGAGGATATCTGTGGTGTCTGGTACTGAAGGTGTTGAGGATGTCTGTGGTGTCTGGTTGTACTGAAGGTGTGGAGGACATTTGTGGTGTCTGGTTGTACTGAAGGTGTTGAGGATGTCTGTGGTGTCTGGTTGTACTGAAGGTGTTGAGGATGTCTGTGGTGTCTGGTTGTACTGAAGGTGTTGAGGATGTCTGTGGTGTCTGGTTGTACTGAAGGTGTGGAGGACATTTGTGGTGTGGAGGTTGTACTGAAGGTGTTGAGGATGTCTGTGGTGTCTGGTTGTACTGAAGGTGTTGAGGACGTCTGTGGTGTCTGGTTGTACTGAAGGTGTTGAGGATGTCTGTGGTGTCTGGTTGTACTGAAGGTGTTGAGGATGTCTGTGGTGTCTGGTTGTACTGAAGGTGTTGAGGATGTCTGTGGTGTCTGGTTGTACTGAAGGTGTGGAGGACATTTGTGGTGTCTGGTTGTACTGAAGGTGTTGAGGATGTCTGTGGTGTCTGGTTGTACTGAAGGTGTTGAGGACGTCTGTGGTGTCTGGTTGTACTGAAGGTGTTGAGGATGTCTGTGGTGTCTGGTTGTACTGAAGGTGTTGAGGATGTCTGTGGTGTCTGGGTACTGTCTGGAGTGGTGTGGTGTCTGGTTGTACTGAAGGTGTGGAGGACATTTGTGGTGTCTGGTTGTACTGAAGGTGTTGAGGATGTCTGTGGTGTCTGTGGTCTGTACTGAAGGTGTGGAGGACATTTGTGGTGTCTGGTTGTACTGAAGGTGTTGAGGATGTCTGTGGTGTCTGGTTGTACTGAAGGTGTGGAGGACGTCTGTGGTGTCTGGTTGTACTGAAGGTGTTGAGGACATCTGTGGTGTCTGGTTGTACTGAAGGTGTTGAGGACGTCTGTGGTGTCTGGTTGTACTGAAGGTGTTGAGGATGTCTGTGGTGTCTGGTTGTACTGAAGGTGTGGAGGACATTTGTGGTGTCTGGTTGTACTGAAGGTGTTGAGGATGTCTGTGGTGTCTGGTTGTACTGAAGGTGTTGAGGATGTCTGTGGTGTCTGGTTGTACTGAAGGTGTTGAGGATGTCTGTGGTGTCTGGTTGTACTGAAGGTGTTGAGGACATTTGTGGTGTCTGGTTGTACTGAAGGTGTTGAGGATGTCTGTGGTGTCTGGTTGTACTGAAGGTGTTGAGGGCGTCTGTGGTGTCTGGGTAGTCTGGTTGTACTGAAGGTGTTGAGGATGTCTGTGGTGTCTGGTTGTACTGAAGGTGTTGAGGACGTCTGTGGTGTCTGGTTGTACTGAAGGTGTTGAGGATGTCTGTGGTGTCTGGTTGTACTGAAGGTGTGGAGGACATTTGTGGTGTCTGGTTGTACTGAAGGTGTGGAGGACATTTGTGGTGTCTGGTTGTACTAAAGGTGTTGAGGATATCTGTGGTGTCTGGTACTGAAGCTGTTGAGGATGTCTGTGGTGTCTGGTTGTACTGAAGGTGTGGAGGACATTTGTGGTGTCTGGTTGTACTGAAGGTGTTGAGGATGTCTGTGGTGTCTGGTTGTACTGAAGGTGTGGAGGACATTTGTGGTGTCTGGTTGTACTGAAGGTGTTGAGGATGTCTGTGGTGTCTGGTTGTACTGAAGGTGTGGAGGACGTCTGTGGTGTCTGGTTGTACTGAAGGTGTTGAGGATGTCTGTGGTGTCTGGTTGTACTGAAGGTGTGGAGGATGTCTGTGGTGTCCGGTTGTACTGAAGGTGTTGAGGGCGTCTGTGGTGTCTGGTTGTACTGAAGGTGTTGAGGACGTCTCTGGTGTCTGGTTGTACTGAAGGTGTGGAGGACATTTGTGGTGTCTGGTTGTACTGAAGGTGTGGAGGACATTTGTGGTGTCTGGTTGTACTGAAGGTGTTGAGGATGTCTGTGGTGTCTGGTTGTACTGAAGGTGTTGAGGATGTCTGTGGTGTCTGGTTTTACTGAAGGTGTTGAGGATGTCTGTGGTGCCTGGTTGTACTTAAGGTGTTGAGGATGTCTGTGGTGTCTGGTTGTACTGAAGGTGTGGAGGACATTTGTGGTGTCTGGTTGTACTGAAGGTGTGGAGGACATTTGTGGTGTCTGGTTGTACTGAAGGTGTTGAGGATGTCTGTGGTGTCTGGTTGTACTGAAGGTGTGGAGGATGTCTGTGGTGTACCACAGGCTGGAGTTACCTGGTAATAATGAGTGAGTGAGTGATTTTAGTTTTACGCCTCTTTTAACAATATTCCAGCAATATCACAGCAGGGGACACCAGACTTCACTCATTGTACCCATGTAACGAATCAAACCCGGGTCTTCGGTGTGACGAGCAAACACTTTAACCACCCCACCGCCCCAAATGGTAATTCTGAAGGTGCTGAGGATGTCTGTTGTGTATCAGAGGCAGGGGGTGCCTGGTAATTCTGAAGGTGCTGAGGATGCCTGTGGTGTATCAGAGGCACGGGGTGCCTGGTAATTCTGAAGGTGCTGAGGACGCCTGTGGTGTATCAGAGGCAGGGGGTGCCTCGTAATTCTGAAGGTGCTGAGGGTTTCTGTGGTGTATCAGAGGCAGGGGGTGCCTGGTAATTCTGAAGGTGCTGAGGACGCCTGTGGTGCATCAGAGGCAGGGGGTGTCTGGTAATTCTGAAGGTCCTGAGGACACCTGTGGTGCATCAGAGGCAGGGGGTGCCTGGTAATTCTGAAGGTGCTGAGGACACCTGTGGTGCATCAGAGGCAGGGGGTGCCTGGTAATTCTGAAGGTGCTGAGGGTGTCTGTGGTGCATCAGAGGCAGGGGGTGCCTCGTAATTCTGAAGGTGCTGAAGGTGTCTGTGGTGCATCAGAGGCAGGGGGTGCCTGGTAATTCTGAAGGTGCTGAGGGTTTCTGTGGTGCATCAGAGGCAGGGGGTGCCTGGTAATTCTGAAGGTGCTGAAGGTGTCTGTGGTGCATCAGAGGCAGGGGGTGCCTGGTAATTCTGAAGGTGCTGAAGGTGTCTGTTGTGTATCAGAGGCAGGGGGTGCCTGGTAATTCTGAAGGTGCTGAGGGTTTCTGTGGTGTATCAGAGGCAGGGGGTGCCTTGTAATTCTGAAGGTGCTGAGGACGCCTGTGGTGCATCAGAGGCAGGGGGTGCCTGGTAATTCTGAAGGTGCTGAAGGTGTCTGTGGTGCATCAGAGGCAAGGGGTGCCTGGTAATTCTGAAGGTGTCTGTGGTGCATCAGAGGCAGGGGGTGCCTGGTAATTCTGAAGGTGCTGAAGGTGTCTGTTGTGTATCAGAGGCAGGGGGTGCCTCGTAATTCTGAAGGTGCTGAGGGTTTCTGTGGTGTATCAGAGGCAGGGGGTGCCTGGTAATTCTGAAGGTGCTGAGGAGGCCTGTGGTGCATCAGAGGCAGGGGGTGCCTGGTAATTCTGAAGGTCCTGAGGACACCTGTGGTGCATCAGAGGCAGGGGGTGCCTGGTAATTCTGAAGGTGCTGAGGGTTTCTGTGGTGTATCAGAGGCAGGGGGTGCCTGGTAATTCTGAAGGTGCTGAGGACGCCTGTGGTGCATCAGAGGCAGGGGGTGCCTCGTAATTCTGAAGGTGCTGAAGGTGTCTGTGGTGCATCAGAGGCAGGGGGTGCCTGGTAATTCTGAAGGTGCTGAGGGGTTTCTGTGGTGCATCAGAGGCAGGGGTGCCTGGTAATTCTGAAGGTGCTGAAGGTGTCTGTGGTGCATCAGAGGCAGGGGGTGCCTGGTAATTCTGAAGGTGCTGAGGGTTTCTGTGGTGTATCAGAGGCAGGGGGTGCCTTGTAATTCTGAAGGTGCTGAGGACGCCTGTGGTGCATCAGAGGCAGGGGTGCCTGGTAATTCTCTGAAGGTGCTGAAGGTGTCTGTGGTGCATCAGAGGCAGGGGGTGCCTGGTAATTCTGAAGGTGCTGAGGGTGTCTGTTGTGTATCAGAGGCAGGGGGTGCCTGGTAATTCTGAAGGTGCTGAGGGGCCTGTGGTGTATCAGGGCAGGGGTAGCCTGGCACGCCTTGCTGAGGGCCTGTGTGTATCAGGGCAAGGTAATGAAGGTAATGAGGGTGTCTGTGGTGTATCAGGGGCAGGGGTTGCCTGGTAATTCTGAAGGTAATGAGGGTTTCTGTGGTGTATCAGAGGCAGGGGGTGCCTGGTAATTCTGAAGGTGCTGAGGACGCCTGTGGTGTATCAGAGGCAGAGGGTGCCTGGTAATTCTGATGGTGCCGAGGGTGTCTGTGGCTATACACCAGTCACGTCAGGGGTATTCCTACAGGCTATACATCAGCTACATCAGGTGTATTCCTACAGGCTATACATCAGGTGTATTCCTACAGGCTATACATCAGATACATCAGGTGTATTCCTACAGGCTATACATCAGTTACATCAGGTGTATTCCAACAGGCTATACATCAGTCACGTCAGGTGTATTCCTACAGGCTATACATCAGTTACATCAGGTGTATTCCAACAGGCTATACATCAGTTACATCAGGCGTATTCCTA